GAGTTTTTGTTCTTCTATGCCGTTCTTTTATCACATCTATATATTATATCTCATTTAACGTTTTTTCTTCTGTTTTACTAATTCCTCCATATTATGTTTTTTTCTTTTGTTTCAGTAACTCATGTTGTGTTTTTTTTTTGCAGAATTTATTATCGTCGATATTGTTGTTCTTCCTCCATAAAATCCATGTAAGAATTGTTACATTTTATATTTATGATTTGTGTGGATTATTTGTTGTTGATGAGCGCTTTTTATTCATGTTATTATATTTTGTTAATTATTATTACATTTGTTTTTCTATGCATTATATATTGTATTTTTTGTCACGTAGAAAGTTTTTATTGTCCATACCTATTATTCCTCTATAACTTTTTCGGATAACAAATATAAAATCTTAATTTATAATTTGTGTGAGTTATATGTGTTGATGTCTGTTTTATTCAAAAATTTATTCTCAATTATATTTTATTGACATCATCCCTATTTTTGGAAGTTATTAATGTTGTTTGTGTGTTCTTTTTATGTGTTTTTATATTTTGTATAATTATGTTTTATTAATATTGTTGTATTTATTCATGTTTTTATTTTTTGTTTTCTGACAACAATCAAATTATGATTAAGTGTGATCTATGTGGAGTTTTGTTATTATAAATTTTCTTCTCCATCTTTTATATTTATAAGTTTCTTAATTTGTATTTTTTTGTCATTCTCTGTATCGTGGTCATTAAAAAACTATCATGTGACGGTTTATTATTTAAAATATCACACCCCGCTAAAGCGGAAACACGAGATGTAACAGGTAAGCAAGTCACAGCAGCAGTTAATAAATAACACCATTCGAGTTTTACAAAAATAAATCAATTTTAACATCCATAACCAAATTGGGATAGAAAGCTTCTTTACAAAAACTTCAAATGCGAACTTAATCGGTATTGCCACAAGTATGCTCCCAAAACACTTCGTTTCTTACTTAAATCCTGAAAAGCATGAAACATAAAACAAGTCAACTACAAAGAGTTGGTGAGTTCACGGGTTTTCATACGCACAAAACATTTCAATGCATAAACCATCTCTTGCAAACCTATACATAACTTTTGCACATAATAAATGTAAATCTGCCACGATGTTTAAAAACTTGAGACGCTACTGAGCCTTTCCTGACCAATGTGCCCTATTATTTTACGAACGACCGGAAGTAGCCCGTACACTTACTTAGGTCCCACAGTTCGTAGTAGTACTAATTCAGCGGTGGTCCAAATTCCACATGATTAGACTAAGAAAACATAGGTAATGTACACCCCTTTCTGGGTGGGACTGTCAATACAATAGCGGCTATCCACAATTACCACGGCTCGGGGACGTGCCCGAGTTAACAAGTAGCGTTTACGAACGGRGACTTTATTTGRAAACATACTCCCAAGTACATCAATTTAGCATTTATATCATAGTGCAAAACCGTCAATATTTCATGACATAAATAAATTTTTGACTAAACAGTTCTTTAGTCCAGGCATAAACAATCTTTGACTAAACAGTTCTTTAGTCCAGGCATAAACAATCTTTGACTAAACAGTTCTTTAGTCCAACAGTTTTATAAATAACAGTATAGTTTGCATAACTTCATGCTTTTCCCCCAGTTTAAATAAACAAAAAACATTAAAAAGTGGGGCCGTAAAAACTCACAGGTTAGATGATGAATATCCAAGGAGATGACGTTTGAAGTGCTCAACGTCCGCCCTAACCTTCCTAAGCAGTCCGAAATCCAAAAATTAGATCACCTATGGGTTCTCGATAAAGAAAAAGTTAAATTATATCCTATGTAATGCCAACGAGTTTTCAAGAATCAAAGTTGATACTTATATTATTAGCTTTAAAAATAGCCCAGAAATTATATATTTTAAAATCAAAGTCCTTTGCACAACAGCTGATATTTGGACAGATTATAAATTCTTTCTGGTATTTTTGGGTTTCACAAAACACTATAAAAAGGAACCTTCCAAAAGTCATTTTATGTCCAACTTTTTATATTATCCATAATAATGAGTTAAACATACTTTTCCCAAATATCAAGAATTTTGAGTGGGTTTAAGGCAGTCATTAATACCCTACAACCTTGAGTTACACAGCCCCCAAAACAGATTGTACACTCTTCGAGTGACAGCCATTTGGAGGGGTCTAAGCTCATCATTTTTCAAGGATTTTAACTCTATTTTCAAGCTAACAAATAAGGTTAACCTCCAGAAAAAGTATTTCTCAATTCCATTGAGTTTTGAGGAAGATAAAACCGATTTGAGATGCATGCAAGATTCTGCCAGATTTCGAAATATAACTTTACATAATTAAATTCTACATGCAATGGGTTTTCTCCTACCTTATTAGAGTTCAAAGAACATGGATCATAGATTATCATCCTTTCGAAGACATTTTCATGTCTTTGATGTATAATATCCCCTTTTTAACTCTCCAGAAATTTAACTACAAGATCAAGAAGTAGGAGTAGGAAGATGAAATTTTTTGTTATTTTTACAAAATTAAGATAACTAGTATCATACATTTTTCTTATAATCTTGAATACTCTTCAAGATTGACAGAATTCCTAAAGGCTTGCTTGAAGATGGAATTGGCTGGAGGGTGGTTTGTTTTAGAGAGAGATTAGAGAGATGAAATAGTTTAGTAAACAAGAGAATTGGAAATGAGAGTTTTCAAAGGGTGTGGGGTATTTATATGAGGATTTTAAAGAAGAAAATGGGCTGACCTCTAAAGGCCCAAGCCCAATAAAAACTTTTATTTTGTTTTTCCTTTAAACAAGAATAAACCCACTTAAATTTATAACCAAAAATATGATTTACCAAACAATAATAAAAATGACACTAATAATTCAAAACTCTACCTTTTGATAAAATTATTTGGACATTCAAATGAGACTTTTGTATTTTAATTTAAAAATTTATAATATCAACTTTATTTTATTTGGAGCATTTCTAAAATATTTGGCATTACATAAGTTAACTTCATCAGTTACCCGCCGAAACAAGGTTTTCTGAACTATATTTTGGGACCTAAGCCAGATGAGTTCTAATCAACATGACTAGATCCTAATAAAATATAATTCTAAATATAGAAACCCTATAAATGTGCTAACCTGACGCTCCAAAAATGACGGATGTCACATAAAAGAACACTTAAAATAATGTTTATGCATTTATTTATTTGAAAATCAATAAAATGTGATATTCATGTGGTTTTTTATGTGTATTTGTTTGCTTTTATTAAATTATTTATATTTATGATATGTGTTCTTTGTTTTATTATGCTTAAAAATATTCAAATTTGTTTAAAGCTTTATCCATTTATTTATATAATATCATATTTAAAATGCATGATAAAATTTTTGATTTTTTAATTGAGTATAAATTGATTTTGCTATGCATGCATTAAAAACTGTATGAAAAAGATAAAATTTTAATTTTTTTATATATTCGATAAATCAAAAAAAAAATTGTCCTGTTTAATACTTTGAAGAGATTTATTTAATGATGGTTTAAAGTTTTAGTTATGTATTAGAAGGATTGAGGGTAGCATATCAACAATTGTGAGGATGACAATACAAAAAAAAAAAAAGGCAAAATGCACAAAATAGCAATCTACTTTCATAACTTTCTTTATTATATCATTGTACTTTTAGTTTTTCTTATTACAACAATGTACTTTCAAACTATTTTTTATTAGGACATTATACTTTGAAAAATATACCCATTATAGCATCGGGTAACCTTTTAATTTCAATTTACCTATTATACCAGGTTTTCATGCCACCTCATTGTCCATGTAGGCTGTCCACATGTACTATAGGGTGTAACTTTCTTACAACACCATTGTCTTTTCAAAATTATTTTATTATAACATCTATTAGTTCTTATTAAATAATGTATTTTTAATTTTGATATTTAGATATTTTACATGTTATTAAATAAATATATTAAATGAATTAAAAAAAATTCTAAATTATTCATTAACATACCATTATCAATAAAAATATTAGAACACAACTTATCTCGTTAATATTTTTTTTAAAAATATGTGTTTTTTAAAAAAAGAAAATAAGAATTGTTCATTTTTTACCAAAAAAAAATATTATCTTTTAAATAATATATTGTATTTGTTAATTTTTTTATTTAACGTATAAATATATTAAATTAATTAGATTTTTTTTGAATTATTTATTAATATAACAATATTAMAAAAWTGTAGATCACAATTTATTTTGTTAACATTTTAAAGAGAACTTTAAAATATATGTATTTATTTGAACAACATAAAATAAGAAGTGTTATATTTTTTACAAACAAAATATATCTCGAAAATAATATTTCATATTTATTTAAGAAATATTTTACTCTAAAATATTTAATTTGCATGCAACTTAATAAGAAAAAGTAAAAAAAAATATTTTTTTAAATCATAGCAATGAAAAATGAAAATCACTAATAATAATTTGAAATAAGTTTTTATTTTTATTTTAGTTAAGTTATTAAAATGATGTGTCATCCACATCACCTCATTAAAGTCACACAAGCAAAAAAAGTCAAGGGTTAATCGGTTTAAAAGGTAACAGATTACCTATTGCTATTATGAGTTATTTTTTAAAGTACGATGCCTTAATAAAAAATAATTTGAAAATACATTGCTGTAATAAAAAAAACAAAAGTAAAATGCTATAATAAATTTTTTTATGAAAGTTGGTTGCTATTTTATGCATTTAACCCAAAAAAAATGAATGGTCAATAAATCAATCATTATCTATAATACCTTATAAGCCATATTTAATAAATATCTTAAAAACAATGCATAAAGTAGTATTCATTCATGAAAACATGTCTATTCGGTTCCCAAACACTGCTCCTGCTCCCAAGGTAAAAGGTAATTTATATTTCCAATTGAACAATTCTCAAGGTGACTATTGATTTCCCAAAGTTTACAGATCATTTTATATCTGATGAAACACTATGTTGTGTTATATCCACCTCTGCAGTGTCATCGTCGTTGCTCCATCTCTACCTCAAATGGCGTTCTCCATGCCGATGTTCCTTCGTTTTTGTTTCTCCTTGTCTGCTTCTGTTTCCTTTGAACAAAGGTCTCTGATGACGTGGTATATTTGTTTCTTTTAAGTTTATTGAAATCTCAAGCCGATTTCCTGATGATAATTTAGATCAATGTGTTTTCTGAATTGGGTTTTTATCATTGTTTCATATTGTCGGTTGATTTTTGATTGATTTATTGTTCTTTGGTGTTTGATGTCTGAATTAGGGTTTCTTTATCGATTTCCAGGTCAATGGAATCAATTGACTGATTTCAAATTTTGAATCTTCCATTTCTCTCCGTTCATGATGTCGACTGCTATTGGATTAAAAAAAATCGCTAATAAGGTGATTCCTTCTCTTCTTGTCTGCTACTCACCTATTTTGAATGTCTGATCTACAACAGTTCCTTTCAAACCTTTGATTAGGAACGGGAAGGAGGTGAATATTACTGCTTCCAAAGCCTTTGGATGTGTACTAATTTCATCAATCAAACGACCTTTTTCTTGCTTACAAATCGTAAGATATTCCCCATTGCTTTCAGTCATGTTTGATCTATCTTTGTTGTTTCTTTATTGTACATTTTCATCAAGGTTTAATGTAGATGATCTGTTTGATAAAATGCCTAAGACAACAACAACCATTATTTCTTCTTAGAATATGATATATGCTTCCTGTAGCAGCCCGTTTAGATATGTGTTCTTTAATTATTGACTATAAAATTTGTCTAGAAAAAGAAACAAATAAGCATCATCAGCAGCAAAAGAGCTGGAATTTGTAATGAGATAATCAACAAAAGAATCAATAAAGCATCCTCTAATAAGGTAGTTCTGATCACACCACTTAATTGAGTATAATCACCATGGATTAATTTTATGTCACGTGCCACTTCTAATATGTAGAGTAACATATGAATGAAATTTCACAGTTAAACTCACTAAGCTATAGCATATGGTTGTTTTCAAACTTTTTTACTTAAATTTATAGTATGTAATTAAAAAGTTACAACCTTTAGGCTTTCTTCTCCTTACATGAAATCATAGTCTGGATGCATTGGTTGAGCATAATCAAAAGTTGTAGCATATGGTTACTTTTTTTGTACTCGAATAGCACAACCACAAAATATAATGACATGCACGGGAGATATGGATTTAACCTTCCAATAACACAAAGCTCTAAAGCCTGGCATCTTTATCATGTTGTACTTCACTAATAAGATCATTGCATTAATAATGATTCCGAAACAAAAACATGACCAAGAGAAAGAGAGAAGATTGACAATGAGAAACAAAAGCAGCAAGATTGCAGTTGGTTTGAGTTTTAATAATTAAGCTGCAGGTTATAGCACCACAAACTCTGTTAGTTTTTAAAGCATACACGAAGAAAATGGAAGCAAGATATGATTATGTACATGCATAGTGATTTCACGTGGATAGATGGGAGTGCATATACGAAAGCCAAGAAGTAATACCTTAGAGGGTGTTGGGTTGAAACCAGCATCCGTCTCTGGAATCACAACAATAAGCACTCAAACATATAGAAACTACAAAAAAGTGCAGAATTTTAATGGAAGGAAAAACATACCATGTTTGAATATTTGCATCAACATATAGAAATGTTATAGACATGAAACTTGTTACTATTGAAGAAGAGCAAAGTTGCTATAAGATATATTTCATCAAAACCAGAAATTGTTCAAAAACCATCCAAGCATATTCTATGTAGGTGGACAAGAAAAAAAAACGACACTTACATAGCAAAATCTGTACTGATGTTTCTTTGACAATTTAAAGAGAATATAAGGTTCAATTATTTAATTATTGACAGGAACAACAACTTTTCCCCACAACCTCTCTTCATGTTGTACTTTAAGTGACAAACGGATCCTATTATAGATTTCTATCTACTCTAATGGCTTCCACCTACACTTTCCATGAATCAATGTAAAGCTATTTAAAATTTCTACTGCCACATCTTGTTCAATAGATGATGTCCAAAGCCTTGATTCAAATTACCCTACCTATTATTACCTTGATTCAAATTTCCCTACCTGTAAATGTGTTTAAAATTTTGATGGGTTCTTGTTTATAACTTCTTGATTTACGCATTAGAAACTTCGAAGTATAGATATTTGTCGTATTTAGGCTTTAGGGTTATGTACTTCATCTTTACAGGTTTTTATCGGCTTAAACACATTTTTTTGTACTTCATCCTTGCATGTTTTTATGTGCCTTTACAAAGAATTTTGCATGCAAATACGTCGAGAAAATAACTGTACTTCTGCACCCTCCATCCTTGAGCTAGCTGTTGGGGATGAGTCCCGCTAGGTTTATTACAATCATACTCTTAATTATCTTAATTCTTCTTCATAGAGCTACAAATTTTCGTTACTTTTCTCAAATTTGGATCGGGAAATTTTGAGTTGCTTCAACATTTATGTAAGAGAGCTTCTGCTAGCTTATTTAATAGTTAAATACGTCTTTAAATATGTTTTTGTCGTTTATGGTTCACTGTAGTTGTTATTGTTCTTTTGTATTAATCATAAGCAATCTTTTCATGGTTGGTGCAGTTGATTGATTTTGAGCTCTTAATATTTGGTGCAGTGCTCATTTGTCGACAACTTATGTATCCATAAGTACTCAAAGTTCAAATTTTCATTGTAAGCTTTTGCATCTTAAACTTCATTTCTTCTTATGCAAGACCATTATTTATCCATAAAAACTCAAAATTCCCATCCATCTTGACACTTTTGAGTGATGCATGTAATTTTTTTTCCTCAAAAGAGTTTGTGTCAGCTCAATTAAATCTTCTTATTTTTTTTTCCAGAAGAGTCTGGGTTCTTTTGATTTTTGTATATTCAACATCTAAGACTATAATTCGTAAATTTAGCTCCAAAAGTTTCTAGCTTTCAAGATTCATGTTTTTAGTGTAGTACTAATAAAAATTTTATATATATTTTTAAATGGGTTCTTGTATGAAAGGATTCTAAGAGAAGGGAATTTTACAATGTTGTAGTTTTGTCAACACGATGGAGCACCTATTGGAGCCTCAACTTATGAATTTTCCGATTTCCTTGGACTGATGATGGGATGAAATGCATGTCGATCGAGGGAACCCATCCATGAACTTGGGCATTGCCAAATTTCTTGGTTTTCAACAAGTACTATGTAGTTGGTTGTTACTTTGTTTCTAACGGTGATATTCCCAACTTTTTTGTTACTTATGTGGTATCTATGTTGGTATGAGTGAAAAGTTCATCAGGAGTTGTTGTGGTTGGGGTTGCAAATGGAGTTGTTGTGGTTGGGGTTGCAAATGGAGTTGTAAATATGCATCTTAAATAGTGTTTTACTTGTAAACATTTTACTGATTTCCTATTATTGGTTTCTCCTTCAAGTTTTTACGTATAACCTTATTAAAATTGCATATGAATTCCGTAAAGTTAAATGATGAGTAAGTGATAACCATATTATAATTTCAAATACAAGATATTTAATGTTCATCCTTACATATACTTATTAATCATGCAATGTTCTTTCTAAGTCATAGGTTGATCATAATTGAAAACATCACAAAACTGTAAAACTAGATGGATAGAAGAAGAATACAATGAAGAACAAAACATGATTAAAGGTAACATGGACTTGAAAAAGCCAAGTACGAAGTGTAAGACGATGTCATTCATCATTCTTTCAACAACTTGCAATCCAAATTCAAGAAAGATATCTTTATATTTGTCACCCAATTTAAAAATCAAGCTACTAAAGTAATCGATATTAAGGACTTACCAGGCGAGCACCATGCATGGCGAATGTGATCGATCCACCAGTGTGTTTGGCTGTATCACCTTCCACCATAGTCAGTCGGTTATCACGCGCCGCCTTGGAAACTACACCCTTCCAATGGGGCGTGTTCCAGCGATCAATCATYTGGCACCAGATACGAGGATCGAGCCACTTAGGGTGGAATCCCTTTAACATATTCATATCCCTATGAGGGTCGTTTTCTACATAAGGCATCGATTGACTTCTAGCTATTTCTCCTGCCCTTCTTCTAGCAGAATTCATGCCATCATTGTAGTTTTTGGCACCCCGAGCCTCCCATATCTGCAGCATCTTGGCGTCCAGTGATGAATCCCAACAATAGTACCCCTATACATAAAAGATTAGTTGCTTGTTGACTTCAAAATAAAACTAGCACAAATATAACAAGTTAAAAGAATACTACAAACCTGGAAACGCTCCCACATCCGTGTCTTCACCTCCTTAGGGATTTCCGACCAYGTRCACCATGGCCCCTCAATCATTGATCGAATAATCTGTCAAATGACGGGCCGCATAGATGTTGTTAATCCTGTGTAATGAGTTGAATTAGTATCGATACCCAAAAATAATTAATTTGATCAATTAGTTAATATAACACTTACTCGTTGGATGTAACACCAATCCTCGTTCTCTCGGTTGGAAGATGTTCTGGAGCATTGATGCCACGGACATTTGCAGACTCAAACTCATCTGTTTGTACAGAAGCACTACTAGATCCTAGAGTAGGTGTAGGGAGGCTACTAATAGCTCAGCTAGGTGTAGCAGTAGATGGAGTAGGTGTAGGTCGGCTAGGTGTAGCAGTAGATGTAGGTCGGCTAGGTGTAGCAGTAGATGGAGTAGGTGTAG